ATACACTCATTAGGGAGATGAAGTTAAAAGTTTTAAAAGCCTTGTCATGACTTTTTCTTTTTGTTGGATTCTCCCCCTTTGCGTTTAATTTGTCACACCCAATGGATTCATTCTGCTGGGTTTCCTGGGGTTGTGATGATCACATGATTTTTAAGAAAGGTACAAAAGCAACAAATCTTACTGGAGCAATTGAATATCCATATTAAAACAAATAGAAACAAAACTCAGACTCCAAACCTCACACAGTATATAAGAATATGGATTATTAAAACTAAAAGTATGACACCTCCATTAGGAAGAGGAAATTTTTTTATCTTGGGAAATATTTCTTAAAATATACACCAAAAGCGTGTTCAATAAAAGGAAAAATACACTCAAGTTTATCAACGTAAAAATTTTCAATGTGGGAAAGACTAGGAAGAGAATGAAAACACAAGCCACATACTAAAAGACGATAGCACATATCTAACAAAAATCATATTCACTTATCTAATAAAAACTTTGTCTAAATTTATTAAGGTTTGGAATCAATAAAACAAAAAATTAATGGGCAAAGATCTGAACAGATGCTTGACTAAAAGAAAAAGGAGTGGCAGTAACACAATATTAGTTATTAGGGAGATAAAAAATAAAATCACACACAAACAGCAGTACATACCTAATAAGGAGCAAAAATTAAAAAGACAACAGTAAGTATTGGTGAGCATGTGGAACAACTGAACTTCTCATACACTGCTGGTGGAAATGTAAAATCATATAAGCTAATGGAATACAGATTATCGGTTTTCAAGATGATAAACACCTACTTAGCCTGTGATTAAGAGTATGTTCATTTGTTTTCTGATGTGATTTTAAAAATCTTGCTGCTTAAGGAGGCCACTCCTCCCAGGACTACTCATTTCTTAGAGAAAAGGGCTTGACCGTGAAGGAGTACATCTCTCTCACACAAACCTACCAATCCTGAGTCTAACTTTCTCCAATTTGTTACCTACCAAGCATTTCCCATGCCCTACATCATCCTAGGACCAAGTAACAAAATCCAGATATTCTAGAATTATTCAAACCAGCTATTCCTCAATTGCTCTCTACCCTGCTGTTTTTCCTGTGAGATTAATAAAAGCTGTGGCCTTCCTCTTCCTGTGTCCTGACCAACAATGGTGCTCTCCATGTGGCCCTGTGTGACATGGTGTGTCCTTCTCTTGGGAAATATAAACTCTGTTCAATGGCATTGACCTTACTGTGTTTACTCAGTCACCCTCATATATTAAAACCCCACAGGTAGAATCAAGGTATCCAGGTCTTTGACTCCCAATGTATTATCCCAAGAGAAAGATGCACATGAATGTTCAGAGCAGCTTTATTTGTAACAGCTCCAAATGAGAATCCAAATATTCCTTAACAGATGAACAGAAGAACAAACTGCTGGGTGTCCTTAAGTGTTTGTTTGTATAAGCACAATGGAAAAATACTAAAATAATTATGCTATTGGGGGTGGGCAAGAGAATATTTTATTGCTTCATTTATATAAAATTATAGATAATAAAAAACAAGTCTACAATAGTGTCTTCTAATCTACAGGGGATATGTTCCAAGACCTCATGAAACCACACTTAACACCGTGAATGGCATCTACTCCTATATACAGGGTTTTTTTCCATGAATATGCATACCTACTATAAGGTTTAAATATAAATTAGACATATCAAGGGATTAACACAATAAACAGAACAATTAAAACAATGTTGTATTAACAGCACTATTTTTAAATTTATGAAGTTTTTTTTCCATATTTTCCCATTTAATATTTTCAGACCATCGATGATGAAGGTAACTAAAACCACAGCAACTGAAACAAATTATGAGGATTACTGTATAATGAAAGACAGTAAACTAATGTTTGGTCGTAGGAATAGAGAGTCAGAGAAAAGAAAGAAATTATGAAGGGGCATTAAAAAACTGATGAATGTCTACCATGATTATGGTGATTTCTTATATTATAGATAAAACTTATTACACTTGGTACTTTAAATATGCATAGTGTATCACACATCAATTATAATATCTCAATGGAGCTTTTTAAAAAACTGTCAACATGGGGCCAGGGATTTAGCTCAGTTGACGCTGCACCTGCCTCACAAAAGCAAGGTCTTGAGTTCAATCCCCAGCACCAAAAAAAAAAAGATTCAACATATAAATTGGGATCTCCTGCTTTTGTGGAAAAACAAGATTTGGCAAACATACTGATTCTACCATAACTTTGTCCTCACACTTTGGGAAGGACAGAGCTGCTTGAGTGGAAGTAAATACTAGTGAGCAGTAAAAGCTATTTGTGAGTGGAGCGTCACAACTAGACTATAATCTCTTTCCACTCTTCTGCTTTCTTGCCTATAAAGCAAAGGCTTCAGGTGAACAGCCCAAAAAGCCTCAGCATTCTAGAAAATACGATTACTTGCTCTACTAACAACCATGTTCACAAGTTGGGATGTCCCAAGAATATTCATATGCCATCATCTCTTACAGCTAGTGACTAGGTATTTCTGCATACACATTCAGATGGCGATCTCTTGAAGTCTGCTGCCCCCAACTCTAGTAATTGCATCCAATGTGTGAAAACGATCACAACAGACTCCAATGGGCTCATACTATTCATATGCTCCACGGAAGGGGAGATAGTATAAAGGCCTGCCTTCCTTAAGCACACAGTGTAAACTGACACACACTTGCCAGCTGCTAGAGAAATGGCATTAGCCATAGGTAACAACAGTGACATATCTCAGCCAAAGGCTGTGGGCAGGTTAGAAAATCCATACAGCTCCTGAGAGCTTTTCATACACCTGGCACTTAGGAAATCTCTAGTATAAAAGTCCAGGTGTAGGATTCAACTTGTGGCCGATGGCTACCTCACACAGACTACACTCAGAATTTCTCAGGTGATATTCATTATGCTAACCAAAAGCAGGTAACATGCTCCTTGCACCCCAAGGCCTTCTTCCAGGGTGAGCTTTATGGTATCAAATAAGGGAGATCAGCGCCTGGCACACAAGCACAAGGTCCTGAGTTTGATGCCCGGTACCATAAAAAAAAAAAAAAAGAAGGGAGATCCATTGGCCTAAGGCTTTTCTTCAGTGTGATTTCTTTGATGTTTAACCAGGCTGGACTTGTCAGTGAAGGATTTCTTACATTCACTGCACTTGTAAGTTCTTTCTTCATTATGAATCCTCTGGTGTCGAACAAGTGCAGATTTAAGGCTGAAAGCTTTCCCACATTCACTGCATTCATAAGGCCTTTCACCAGTGTGAACTCTCTGATGTAAATTGAGGCTTGATCTATGGCTGAAACACTTCCCACATTCAGTGCACTCATATGGCTTTTCACCAGTGTGAACTCTCTGGTGTGAAATAAGGCCAGAGGTTTGGCTAAAGAATTTCCCACATTCAGTGCACTTGTAAGGTCTTTCTCCAGTGTGGATTCTCTGATGCCGAATCAGTGTGACTTTGCGGCTAAAGAATCTCCCACATTCACTACATTCAAAAGGTTTTATCCCAGAGTGAACTGTCTGGTGTCCAATAAGGCCAGATCTTTGTCTAAAGAATTTCCCACATTCACTGCATTCATAAGGCTTTTCTCCAGTGTGGATTCTTTGATGCCGAATAACTGTGGTTTTGTAGCTAAAAAAGCTCCCACATTCACTACATTTGTAAGGTTTTGCTCCAGTGTGAACTCGCTGATGCTGAATGAGGCCATAGCTTTGTCGAAAGGATTTCCCACATTCACTACATTGGTAAGCCTTTTCTCTACTGTGGATTTTCTGGTGCTGAACAAGTCTACCTTTCTGTCTGAAGGATTTACCACACTCACTACATGAATAAGACCTGTCTCCAGTGTGAATCTTCTGATGTTGAAGTCCGTGTATGTGGCTGAAGGATTTCTCAAATTCACTGCACTCGTAATGGTATTCTCTGACGTGAAAAGCCTCATTGCTCTCAGTCCTTATGGGAAAATTCCCCTCGGTGTGAAGGGTCTGATGCTGCAGAAGGCATGAGCTGGACAGGATGTCCTTCCCCCCATCTTCACATGTGAAAGGATTCCCTAGCACATGAAGCTGGCAGTTGTTCACATGCAAATCCCTGTCCTCATGACCTCTGATGTGATTCCTTCCACTGTGCTGCTTCTGGTCCTGAGGGATACTTATCCTGAACCAGAATTGTCTACCACATGACCCACATGTGTGCAGTTTGTGCCTGGGATGTAGTCCCTGCTGCTCAGCAAGTAGCAAAATGTCTTTCATGACTGGGCCACACATCCCACAAGGGTAGGCTTTCAGAGTAGCCAGATCCACCTTGGGAACCCTGACCCATGATGCTCCTGGAGAAGGTGGCTCCTCATCTTCCACTCGAAACCAAGAACCTGAAAGCAGAAAATGTTGAAATATATTAAGACTTTGGTGAGAGGAGGTGCCCAACAAAAATGCATGTCTTTCAGAAGAGACAACTTACAGAATGGGAGAAAATACTTACAAACTATACATAGGACATGGCATTAATAGCCAGTACACCGAATTCAAACAATTCAATAGCAAAAATAAAATAACCCAATTAAAAATGGGCAACAGAAGTAAACAGACATTTTTCCAAAAGAAGACAGAAATGGTCAATGTATATATGGAAAATAATCAACATTTCTAATCATCAGAGAAATGCAAATCAAAACCACAATGAGTTATCATCTCACTCCATTAAGCATGGCTAGTATCAAATAGCAAAAGATAGCAAATGTTAACCAGTATGTGTAGAAAAGGGAACCCTTACACATTGTTCCTAACAATGTAAATTAAAATTAGTACAGCTATTATGGAATGCAATATGGAGGTTTGTCAATTAAAAATAAAGATTGGAGGTGTAGCTCAGTGGTACAGCACTTGCCTCGAATGTGTGGAGCCTTGGTTACGATCCCTATCACCAAAAAACAAAAACTTTTTGACTAGAACTATCATATAATGCATCAGTCCTACTACTGGATATATATTCAAAGAAAAAGAAATCAGCATGCTGAAGAGACATCTGCAGTCCTATGGTGATTGTAGTACTATTCAGAAGAGCCAAAAAATGCAACAGCCTATGACCAGCCTTGGTCAGTTGATGCATAAATAAATTGTCCACATACACAATGGAATAAAATTGAATAAAAGAGAATAAAGTGTCATATGTGACCACATGGAGGGAATTGGAGATTATTACATTAAGTGAAATAAGATAGTCACAGAAAGAAAAGAGCCACATAATCTCACTCATGTAGAAGCTAAAAAATTTGATAGCAAAGGAGTTGAGAATAGGGTGGTGGTTACCAGAGGCTGAGAGGCTCAGGGGAAGAAGGTATGGGCAGTAGATAATAAATTTTATATAGGACCAATTACATGTAGGAGCAAGAAGTGCTAGTGTGACTTACTGGACATTAAGAAAGACTATAGATAAAAAAAATCTGCTGAATATTTCAAAAAGCTAGAAGAAAGGATTCTGAATGATTTAACCATAAAGGACAAATGTTTGAGAAGATACTGAAAAAAATCACATGATACCATACAAATATGTTTTATTTTTTGTTTTCATTATCAGTTTAAAAATAAATATCAAAAGGGCTGGGGATTTAGCTCGGTGGTGCCGCCGCCTGCCTCGCAAGCACAAGGTCCTGAGTTCAATCCCCAATACCAATCAATCAATCAATCAATAAATAAAGACACATGGCTCTGTGTTCCATCCTCAGCACTGCAAACATAAATGAATCAATTAAAGAAAAATACATTAAAAATGTTTTAAAAGTTTAAAAAAAAAAAGAGTCTTATTCTGTGGACCAAAGCTTATTATTCTTTTTTTTTTTTTTTTTTGGTACCAGGGATTGAACTCAGGTCCTTGTGCTTGTGAGGCAGGCGACGGAACCACTGAGCTAAATCTCCGGCCCCAAGCTTATTATTCTTACTAAATTCTCATGGATTAATGAAAAATATTACAAATCTAGCAATAAGTACATAGGACTCATGGGAGCACAACAGGGCTAAAGTTAGTGTGACAAAGGGTCCACTATACTGAGATAAGCAAAATCAGGCAATGAGGGGGACCACTGTGGGTCAAGCACTCAGTGATGGGGTGCAATAAGAAAGAGGAGGCTGCACCTCTCACCCATTTCCCAGCAGACAACTTTCAGCAGGGGCTTGTCTGCTGTGAACATGAACACTGAACAAAAGGGTGTGTCCACACCCAGGAAAACCAACTGCAACTAAGTGGTTCAAGGATAGCTCAGGTGGGGAACACCTCACAGCATACTCTGTGTAGCTCAGTATTGGAGAACACTGCAGATGGACCAGAGACAAAGGACGGGTGTCATCTGAAAGCACAGACGTGTAGTTAGCTCAGCCTAAAGCTCAGGGTAGGAAGGACAAGTGGGGAAAATATAAAGAATGGGGCTGGCCAGGCGTAGTGGTGCACACCTGTAATGCCAGGACTCAGAAGGCTGAGGCAGGAAGATAGATGTGAGTTCAAGCCCAATCTGGGCTACACAGTGAGTTGAAGGTCAGCCTGGACTACATAACAAGACCTTGTCTCAAAAAGCCAAAAAAAAAAAAAAAAAAAAGGGAACAGGGCTGTAGGAAGGAAATGAGTCATGGGCCCTGTCCTTGGTGCAACAACACTAACAGGTACTGGAGAGGTTCCTGGTACAATCAGAAACTATCTCTGGCATGGAGCCGTTTATCACTTACAAGAGACAGTCCGCCTCCAGGGTTCTCTTGCAGCTACAGTCAAGTCTGCTCGATCAGCCACCCAGTCTTCCTCCAGTTCCAGCTGGACCAGGACATGAATTTGGGAAGACACGAGTCCTAAGGTGAAGACAAGGCAGGTGAGTACACAGCAGTAGTACACAGTGACCCCACCCCCACCACAGGACAGGGCATTAGTAGCACAAAAGAAACTTGGAAGAACATCTCACAGAAACAACCTAGTGGTCCCTGTGAGTAGTGACTAGGTTGGTGCGTGTGATTCCTGGCACCACCAGGCAGAGGAAATGTTAGTAGGACAGAAGGGAGCAGAACTGGGGGCAGAGAGGTGCGATGATACTGGAGTGTGACTATGCCAGGGTGAGGACACACCTAGGGGGATCCCTAGGTATAGTATATGCAGGAATATAGACCTCCATATACTTCCCTGGAAGGCTTCTGGCTCCAGGTGGTGGGGCCACTTGGGGGTGAGATAGGGAGAGCATGGCACCCACAGCACAAACACAAGAAAACCTTGAAGGCAGCAGTATCCACAGGAGGGTGTGGGAAGCAAAGCATGGGCCCTGGAGACGAGAAGAGAGAGCCAGAATAGGATGTGGTAGGACTGTGAGGGACTTACCCAATGAGGCCACAAGGCCAAAGTTCTCTAGCATCACATCCCGGTACAGGAGTCTCTGCATCTCATTAAGAAGCTTCCATTCCTCCCAGGAAAAGTCCACAGCAACATCCCCAAAGGTCACACTGTCTTGCTACAACAGGGAAGGCAGTGTCCCTGAGCAATCTCTCCACTTTCAGTCTATCATTGTCCCCTAAATCATGCATTCTCTGCTCCCCCTGTTCCGCAGCTCACCTCACAGTGATACAAGACTGGTGCCCCCACTGCCCCCTCTCTCCTCAGACTGCTTTATTGATCACTGTCACCCACATCCACCTAAGCATGTGTACAATAAATGAGCTCTGGGCCTGGCAAAAGGGCTCCACTCCTGGTCCTGCCAGCAAACCATGGTCATGGCTCCCTGAACATGCAAACTCACACTCAGAAGTCTCCCCTAAATTCCCAGCAGCAAGTTCTTGGGGCCATCAGTTTACACTCACTGTCTGACCACATCACTCCGTAGACCACCCAACCTTCACATTTCTCACCTACCACAACTAACACCAAGCCCCTGATCCACATCATAAGCAGTTCCCTAACTCACCAACTTCCTCTGCACACGGCATCAGAATGCTTGGGACGTGCACCATGATTCCATTCTGTCTCAGACCTCTGAAGGTCCACAGTGGCAGGGCAAGGCTGGAGTCCTGCTTTAAAGACTTCTCTAGTTTGCCTGTTTATTTCAACCTCAGTCATTCATACCACATGCAGGTGACAAGATACTTTAAAGCCTCTTCTACTGCTGTGTTACCTAGGCAGTACACTCACCCATCTCAGCCATCCTCCTTCCATCAAAGCCCCATTCAAATGCCCAGCTTCACTGGTCTCCTGAACTTCACGAACCATCTTTTTTCCTCTGAACTTATCAATCAGCCTTAGTGAAGCCCTCTAGGCCCCATGAAAGGTCACAACAAAAGCCAGATGAGCCATCTTTTTCTTTTTCTTTTTTGGGGGGGGTACTGGGGATTAAACCTAGAATCTTGTGCATGCCAAACAAGTACTATACCACTGAGCTTCACAAATCCCCTTTTAATAAAACAATTTGATTTGGAGAGTTTCACTAAGTTGCTCAGTCTGGTCTCAAACTCGTAATACTGAGTAGCTGGGATTACAGGTGTGCCCCACTTTGCCCAGCCACAGGAACCGTTAGAATGCTATTCACCTGTTCAGGTGCCAGCCCTGGCTTCACTGTCATCTGATCTTCATTAGTGCCATGTTTCTACACCCATCTCACAGTCACTCCCTTGGGAATCCTTGATCCACTATCAGACCAAACTAAACCAACAGCCACCACTCTCTCTTATCTTTTTTTCCTTTGGTACAGGGATCGAATTCAGGACCTTGCGCTTATGAGGCAGGCACAGCACCACTGAGCTAAATCCCTAGCTCTCTTGCCTTTCTTTATGACACTCCCCAATTCCATTCAGGTGCCTAAGAAACTCAGTCCTTCAATCTAACACTGCCCTCCCTTGCCTCCAACAATTGCCATTAAGACCTGAATTCTTCCTCTTTTAAATGTGACCTTCAGTTCCAAACCAGCCCCGCCACAGACCAAAACTGGTGGTATCTCTAACCAGTATCCCTCTCCTGAAGGCCAGATCTGTATGTCTAGCTATCTACTCAAGGCCTCTTCCCAGGAGTTGCAGAAACAACTCAGATTCAACACAGCCAAAACCTAACTCTCACATCCTTCCAAAAATTGTCCTGTAACTGTTTCTACATTTAGCTGATGGCATCTACTTCCTTCCAGTATAAGGGCCAAAACCTTGGACTCCTTTCCTTCTCTCTCAACCTCCACATCAGAACATACAATGGACCTACTTTAAAAACAAATCCAGAAGCCACACTTTCCCCCCCCACCTTGGACCAGACATCAATGATATTCTCCTAGAGCCTTCTTCCTCACTCCTGTCTGTTCTCTACTGTACAGCCAAAGGAAATGTGTTAAGACTTGATTCAGATGACCTCCCAACACACATTACTTCAGAACCTCCATGGTTCCCAGTACCCTCAGAATAAAGACACAGTACCTCAGCCTGCCATTCCATTCCAGGCCTGAATCCTGCGTCTCAGCTTTCTTGTCACATAAGGCAAAACTTATCTATATTAGCTAACTAACAGTTCAATCTCTCCCCTAAGCAACTGTACATGTTAAGGCCTGTGCCTGTAACTCCTGCTGTAGGACATTTTACTGACAGCCAGACACTGGACCATCTCCATATAATCCCTGGCCTGAATTCAGGATCTTATGTATGAATAAATCCCAGAAGCACCAATGGTTAGTACAGTGGTAGGCACAGAGTCCCAGGATACCCCAGACTCCAAACAGCCACTATCAGACCAACCACCAAACCATAGGAGTGACGTACAAGCAGGGTGAGGGCCCAAGACACCCTCTCCTCACCTGTGCATAGCTCATAAGCACTTCTGAAGCCATGGAAACCTGTGGAAAGAGTGACACTGTGAGTGGAGAGCATCCATGGTATGACTACAAAAGCTCATGTGCCCCTCATAACCCCCACTCCAGCTCAACAAGGTGACTTCCACACGACTAACTTCTGGCCTTCAGGCCTTAATGTTCCCTCTTACTGGCTGTCACCTTGAATGAAGATTCAACCTCTCTGTGTGTCTTCATCTATAAAGTGGGCATAAGAATGGTACCACCACCACAAGGCTGCTGTTGGTATCAGTACTTTGGTATACAAGATGTAAGTATAAGCAATTGCAATCCATAGAATTAAGGCTTCTGTTAATATTGTCAGTGCAAGCAATGTGATAATTTTTGAAATTACAGGTGTGCTATACTTACATTGTTAAGAATTTATGAGATTGCAATATGCATGCCTTTTAGTGTATCAGTACACTGTTTTGTTTCAAAGTGTGAGCCAAATACCAAGTACCCACAAAACTTGTTAAATGCACACATTTCAATTAATTGCCCATCTATATGTACACTTTCAGAGGAATGTTGATCTCTTGTTGTAGTAAGAAGCTATTTCATTTACCCATAAGTTAAAATGACATGGGGGTTATACAGGTTGAGTGAATGCTAGTTTTCTATTCTTATTATTTTTTTTAGAAATATAAGTTATTAATCAATCCACTTACAATCCAGGTGGCTTAATGCAAGCTTATTAATATCTCCGCATTTGATCCATGAGAACATGTCTTCCACAAACAGACAGCGATATTATTGACTGAATGCATTTGTAGTCTGGAGCATATTAAGCATATTTAAACCAATAAAATTAGGCTATCCTGTATATGAAAGTATCTCGATAATATGCATCCTGAAGTGGATTAAAACTCCCTCGCTAGTTTTCTATTCTTAAAAATCGACCCGTAAGTAACTGTACTTCTCCCACATTTACTGCCACAGCTCTGCTTCTGCACAAAGTCTCCTATTTTGTGGCTGCAGCCTCAAGATTTCCCTCTCCTCTCATGTCCCAGTCTGTTTTCCTTTGAGCAACCTCCAGGAATCTTAAAATCCTTACTCAGCTCTAGTCTCTGTTCGTTCCCTCCATTTCTTCCGGAGCCCTCAGAATGGCAGGTTGCAGCTGCCGTTCCATATTTAATTCATCTGCTCACGTTTCCCGATTGCTCCTCAACTGCACCTCCAAGCCTTGCACAGGCTGGTCCCTCTGTAAAGAACTCTTCTACTCCTCACCATGAAGGTTTTTACAAACGGTGACCTCACCCAGGGACACTCCTCTCTCCTGAATAAAGCGGCCGGGCTGAAATAACCTAGATAGGAGCCCTGCACTCGGGGCTTCAGGATTTGGAGGCAGGGTCTGCATAGGTGCAGGTCTAGGGGATGCAGCATTGACCTAAGCAGAGTCACCAGAGCGGCGGCCATCTTCAGAGCTGTGGTGGGGCGGACCCTGAAGAGGCAAGAGACCAAGACAAACCCGCACGCCAGCCTGTCCTGTGCGAAGTCCCGCCTGTGGCACCCTTCGGAGACACAAAACCATCTCTGTCTGTGCGGACAACGCCTCTTCGCGCCTTCCCGCTCACTTTACCTTGGGCTGGAGCAACAGTTCAAAATCCCATCAGCGCACAGATCTAAGGGTCACCAGGATGCACGCCACCGGCAGAGCGCCGGAAGTCCCGCCTAGAGTGCTAGGCTTTCATTGGTCTGGCGCTGCCGCCACTCAGCGCAGATCCAGGTGGGTAATGTAGTTCTCTTGGACAATGGCCCGGGTGGAATGCTGTTTCAGGCCTGACTTTAAACACACCCACCTAAGGACGCTGCAGAGTGCTGGCACATGTTGGGCTATTGGGGATAGTGCCGGAATAAAAAACATGGGCATACAAGTAAGTATCTTTTTTGTGTGCTGAATTCATTTCCTTTGGATATAGACCCAGCAATGGGATTGCTAGATCATGCAATGGTTTTAGTTTTAGTTTTATTGTTTTGTTTTTGCAGTATTGGGGGTTGAACCTAGGGCTTTTGCATTGAGCTACATTCCCTTTTTTACTTTATATTTTAAGACAAGGTCTCGCTAAGTTCCTAAGTTGCCCAGACTGGGCTCAAACTTGCAATCCTCCTGCCTCAGCCTTTCAGAATGTTAATAGGCATCCGCTGCCACACACAGTTTTAGGTGGTTGTTTGTTTGTTTGTTGTACTGGGAATCAAATTCAAGACCTCACGTTTGCAGCCATGTGCTGCACCGCTGAGCTACATCCCCGGCCCAGGTTTGTTTTTAAGGAGCCTCCGTATAGTTTTCCATGGTGGTTGTGTTACTTTAAATTTCAACCAACACAGTATAAGAGGTCGCATTTCTCTCCATACTCTTTTTCCTTTGTTGTTGTTGTTTTGTTTTTGTTTTTGTTTTCCCTCTTCCCAGAGACATATCTTCAGGAATCTAGTATTCTGATGCTCCCTTCTGGATTTACAGTTGCTGAAAATCAAAATAATGGTTGTTCTGGGATTTCCCTTCATCATCACCTTGGAAATTCACTTGTCTTTCTCTTTCTTGGTCTGTTCTCTTGTAGCTTCCTGAGAAAAGATGCAAGGAAAGCAAATGTTTTTGAATATTACATATTTGAATCGATGGTTTGCACCTAGCAAATATATAATATATAAGATAATGTATAAGATATAAGATATAATTCTGTTGGAAATAGTTTTCCTGCAAATTTTTAAAGACATAGCTCTCTTATGTTCTACCTTATAGTGGTGCCATTATATTTATTTGATCTTTTGAATATGAAATTTTTGAATCTGTGAAGTGTGGCTTCAGGGTCCCTGCTCTTAGTAGTTATGTCATACTGCCTCCTCAGCTTCCTCCTCAGGGGTGAATGCCTAGATGCAGGTATTCTATGCATACCAGGAGCAGGAAATGAGGTTACAGATGACTGTAGTTCCACATAGCAATTTCCAATTAACAGCCTCTTCATCTTGGTAGCTTTACTTGTGTTCACTCCATTGTCCATTTCCTCTGAAGCCCAAACCTCCTTGGGGTTATATAGGGAAAACTGGCTCTGTTCTACCTACATATGTTCCTCTCTATCTGGAGTCACCACATTTCTTTTTACTTTTTATTCTCCAAAACTGTTGTTTTAGTCATCTGCTGATGACCCACTTGTTATTTTTCTCCTGTAGAACTATATGTTTTACTTCCTTTCTTGTCTTCAAGGAGTTCTACAGGAATGAAGTAGTAGCCAAGAGACTATGACCCATGTAGGACAAATTGCTTCTCACTTGTCTCCTCCTAATCTGTGGAGAGAGCACTCATAACCCCTTGTACTTGGCCAAACATCATAACACCTAATGTGTTCAACTCATCTGTGTGGCAGCTCTCCTCTTTGAAAGCTTTTATTTATTTATTTATTTTACAATGCCAGTGAGGTAGAAGATTAGGGCACGCAAGGAAGCTGGACAATAGGGTGTGACCTGTCAATCATGGAGAGCTGTCCAATCATGGTGCTGAACAGCTTCCTGTGGCCAGGACATGGTGTCAAAAGAAAGATGTAAAAGATGGTGGCCATTGGCTTTGTGGCCACTGTCTTACTCTTCCAGTGACCTGCTGTACATGCAGGGCATATTTTCTCTTTTTTTCACTTCTACTTTTTATGCCATTATCTTCAATAAATGAAGCTTTTGCCTTCATTGGTTGTCTCCGTTGAATTCTTTGAACATAACAAGAGCCTAGAACCATAGGACAACGCACTGTCCCACAACATCAGGGTTTGAACTCAGAGGCTGTGCTTGCTAGGGAAGTGCTCTAACTCTGTGTGCCAGATCTAGGCCCTGGAGCCTTTAAATCTGTAGAATGGGAGAAAAATGGCATACATCTCCTGGGTTCCATTTGTATGGCGATGAGGGTGACCCTCAAGCTCATGTGGGACAAACTTGTTCTCCAGTGTGGTGATGTGCAACATGCTGAAAACTTGTAAGAGTTGCAGAAAATGGGAGATGACTAGGTCATGGGGGATGCTGCCATGGGAAGGGATTAAGGCTGGTGTCTGAACAAGTTTGTTCTCCCAAGAGTGTTGCTATAAAGCAATTCTACTCCAAATGTTTGGATCTGTGGCTGATTGATTCCTTTCTGTTCTTCCACTGTGCAGCAGTGTACCCCAAGAAGTCTTTGCCAGAGGGAAAACACATAGGGCTGCCTGGTCTTGGACTTACAGCCTTCAAACTGGTGAGCTAAGTAAACCTCTTCTTTATAAATACGTAGCTCCAGGTATTTTGTGATGGTAATGGAAAACTGATTAATACCCCTTGCTACCACTAGAAAATGTTCCATATGGAGAAAAACAGCTGCTCCTGGAGCCAGGGCTTTAGCTCAGTGGTGCCACCGCCTGCCTCGCAAGCGCAAGATCCTGTGTCTTGGAGGGAAATCTATCACTCTGTTTTTATATCTTCTTGGATCAGTTTTGATAATTTATTTGTACCTAGGAATCTATCCAGTTCTTCTAAATCTTCCTTGCTTTTTTTCTGTGATACTGTCTTAGTTACTTTTCTCATTGCTGAGACAAAATACCCAACACTCAAAGTTAAAGGAGGAAAGGTTTATTTAGCTCATAGTTTGTAGAGGCTTCAGTCCATAATTGGCTGGCTCCACAGCAGTGTGGCACGACAGACAGGGATTGCAGGAAAGAAACAGTTCACGGTGGGCAGAAGGTAGCAAAGCAACCAGGGACATCCACAGCTCTTTCTATCCCTTGTATCTTATCCAGGCTACTTAGGGTGGATAGAACTCACACCCTTAATCCTAGTGCCCTTGAGCCTAGCACTGCACCATGAATGAATTCCAGTGTCACACACTCTAAATCCAACCACCTCTGAAAAAGCCCCACCCATGACCACATGAGGCTTTGGGGGGACATCTCATCACAAGCCATAACAGATCCATTGGATATTCCATAGATTATTCCTTAATTTCTGTGTATTTTCATAATGTCTGTGGCTTCTTTTGCCATTGGTTTCTAGTTTCATTACACTATGACCTGATAATATGCATAAGATCATTTATTTTGTATTTACGTAAGCACACTTTATAGGCTATTATGAAGTCTATTTTGGAGAAAGTTCCATCTGCTGCTGAGAAAAATGTGTATTCTGTTGTTGTTGGGTAAAACACTCTGTAGATATCTATTAAATCCACTTACTTGTTCAAAGGTTTGGCTCAACTCTAGTATTTCTTTGTTGATTTTTTTCCAGTTGATCTGCCTGTTTGTTTTGTGACAGTGGAAATTGAGTTCCCCACTATGACTGTGTTGATGTTTTATCTGATCTCATATGTCCAGTAGTGTTTGTTTTATGAAGTTGGGCACAATAGTGTTTGGTGCATATAGGATTATAATTGTTATCTCTTCCTGTTCAATTATTTCCTTAACCACTATGTAGTGACCTTCTTTGCCCTTTCTGATGAATTTTAGCTTGAAGTCTACTGTGTCTGAAATTAGAACAGTTACTCCTGCTTTTTTCTCATTTCATGTTGCATGCAATATTGTTTGCAACCCTTGATTTTTAGTGTGTGAAGTTTTTTGAATTAAATGTGTTTCATTTTTACAACATGTCATTGGGCTTTGTTTCTTGATCTATTCCTCCAATCTGTATCTTTTTCTTGGAGAATTGAGACCATTCACATTGAGAGTTAGTACTGAAAGTATTGACCTAATTTCTGTCATTGCATTACTTTCCTGTTGAGGATTTCCCCTCCTTACTTTTGCTTAACCATTCAACCTGCTGGGTGTATACATTCTATTAGACCTTTTGGCATTTTGGACTTCATCGTTACTTTCCAGAATATCTTTCCAGAATACCTTGAGAATTTTTTGGAGTGCTGGTTTTATGGTCATGAATTTTTTCAGCTGCTCGTTATCATGGAAATACCATATTTCTCCATCAATTTTGAAAGAGTTTTGCAGGATATATCAATCTGAATTTGAAATTGTTTTCTTTTAGGGATTTAAACATTTCACTACAAGCATTCCTGGCCTCTAAGGTATGTGTGGAGAAGTCTGCTATAATTCTAGTGGGTTTACCTGTATAAGTGGTTCATTGATTTTCTCTAACAACTATTAAGATTCTTCACTTGTGTTGGACTTCTGGGGTTTTAACTAAAATCTTTCTTTTTGATCTTATTTTTGAGGGATTCTACATGCCCCATTTATCTATGTGTTTACTTCTTTCCCTATATTTGGAAAGTTTTCTGCTATTATTTCTGTAAACAGGTTTGGTTTTTTGTTTGTTTGTTTGAGTTTTTTGGGGGTACCGGGGATTGAACTCGGGACCTTGAGCTTGCACGGCAGGCGCTGGAACCACTGAACTAAATCCCCGGCCCTGTAAACAGGTTTTTACACTTGATCTTACCCAAAAGGCCGAGAAGTGATTTGTAAACAGGTTTTTTATGCCACTTGTGCTTCTTTGGATTTTTCACTAATTCCAATTAATCTTAGTATCATGTAGAAGCTTTTGGCTCCATATTTTATGTTCTCTTGTGCCAGAGCCCACAATATTGATTATGCCCAATGCATGCTGCAAGCAGTGCCGGCTGCAAAGAGTTAAATCCCTCAATTGGCTTACTTTAAGAAGTGAGTCTGACTGAAGCTACGTGACTCACTGAAGTATCTTATGAGCACTGTGGTAGCGTGCAGGTTGACATGACCTCCCCGCTAACGGCCACAGCCAAGACCAGAGTAATGGCCTATGAAGCTGTGGGGCTAATACGAGATAACATCCGTAGCTGAGGACGGAGTAATCGCACCCAAATTCCATTCCCACAGTTAGTTTCTTCATAGCTTGAAGGACAATGCTCTAATTACAACCATATATTTTGTCTATCTTGCTTCTAATTTGAAAATGCTTTGACTTTTCTTTAAAGCTTTGCCTGCATTAGTTTCATGGCAGTTTCACATACTGCACATCTATACATGCACCTTTACCCTGACTGTTGAATAATGAAATTCGGTGGCCAAGATGGGCCAGTGCCTTTTGCCAAAGGAACATTGGCCGCTGCAGTTCACACTTTCTCTTTAACTCTGTCTTAAGTTTTTCTTCAACCTGCGTCTCGTCTTGCACTGGGAAGGTGGGGACTAGAGATTTACTCCAGGAGTCTCTGGCACTCTTGGGGTTTTTTTGTTTGTTTGTTTTTTGTTTTTGTAACCGGGGATCAAACTCGGGACCTGGCGCTTGCGAGGCAGGCACTGGAACCACTGAGCTAAATCCCAGGCCCTTGTTTTGTTTTTTGACACAGTTTCACTATGTTGCCCAGGTTGTCCTCAAGCTTACAGCAATCCTACCTCAGGCTCCCGAGTGCTGGGACTATAAGCATGCACCACCATGCCCAGTCTATGCTCTTTTGTTTTTGAGGTATCTCTGAATAATTGGTCTCCCAACAGCAGCCCCATCTTCTAATTCTGACACTCTGTCCTCACACTCGTTGCTTCTGCTGCCCATACTTTTGATAGAATTTTTAATCTCCTCGACTTTGCTAAATCGGACATATGTGTTTTGTATCATTTTGTTTATCTCGGCTAGCTTTTTATCAGTGTCTTCTGTAAATTCCCTGATCGTTTTACTTATAATATCCATTATATGTTTAATTATATCTTCTTTGAGTTTGTCAAGCACCTTATCAATCTGCTTTTTTTCCATTAATTTTATTGGTACATTTTAGGTATACAATACAGTTACATTCATCATTGAGAACCTGTACCTTTACATGATGTATCTTGGTTATTTTCCCCCATCCCCCTGCCCTCCCTTCACCCCCTCCACCCTTCCCTATTTATAAAGACTTTGTTTCCGTTTATTTCAATCTGCTTTTTAATCTACTCTGTTATCCTTTTGAACAATTTGGCTGTGGGTTTTTTTTTATTTCTCCCTCTCAGTGCCCCAAGAATTGGCTTTGGGGGAGTTGGGAGTTTTTGGAGGCATTTTGTGGCCTCCACTTCTCATGTTTCTATTGTTTGTTTTGTTTTTTGCTAAGGTTTATGGGTGTTTATAGTGCAAAGACTTTGTTACTAGTATGGGGATCTCTTTGGTTAGTACCTGCTCTTTAGTGATGCACTCTGGGTGTGGCTAATTGTAGTCATTTGCCTCTGTTCCAAGATCTGATCACCTTCATTAATTTGGGAGGGGAGGGATGCAGTGTGATTGACCCAGCACCCTGTTCTCTGGGAATGGACCACACAATTGTCAATGACACAGATGTGACCTGGATATTGGCATACACAGGAAACCTCTTGACAGCAACAGCTATGCCACCCTGGCAATAGCAAGTAAATCAGCAACGACATTATCATCAAAGACAAATTTGATATTGATGTGCCATAAGAACCAAAAAGGTACCACACTTAAGCATAGCAAAGAGATATCTATAACTATAGTATAATCACTAATAAAAACCCAAATATTGGGCTGAGGATTTAGCTCAGTGGCACCACACCTGCCTTGCAAGTGCCAAGTCCTGAGTTCAATCCCCGGTCCAAAAAGAAAAAAAAAACCTCAAATATTGACACACAGTAAATATCTATTAGATGGGAGAATTATACCTCCACTAACAATAAAAAATAATTCAACAGTAAAACATAGAGTTAACTATCTAGAGGTTAATGAAACTTAATGGTTATACTACTGTATTTCTCTGGGAATGAGACTGGATCTAATATGTATTAATTTTTGCTCAAAAAGATGAAATAGGGCTTATTTTTAGAGGATGTCTTATTTTTTCATGTACAAAATCTACATTTATTCATGTACAAAAACCTACATTTATTCAGTTACAGAGATACCTCCGTTGTCAAATGGCTCCAAGCTGGAACTTTCCACTACTCCAACAGCAAAGTTTCAAAAAAATCTGCACAGTGTTCATAACTTTGCTCGATAGTCAAACCAAAAATCTGATGAACAAGCCTGTACTGGGTGGAGAACAAGTCATGCATTGTGTCTCCCCGCAGACACGAAGGGGAAACACTTCAGTCTAGCCACCACTCTCACCCAGACAACATATAGTGCTTGTGTCAGTGCATTAAAAAATTTGACTTTGTGATTTTTTGTGTGTGTATGCTTTATTTGCATAAAATATCATAACCATAGCTCCAAAGAAAGTTAGTCATAACAGCAGTAAAGCTAAGAAGGAAACTGTGAGAACTACGGTAAGCATTAAAGAAATAAATCATTGTGAAATTTGTG